CTTTAGTTTTTCCTTATAGGTGACATTAAGAAGGCTTATCCCACAATAATTGGCGCAGACTGTGGGATTCCTTTTTTTTTGGATTGGGCAGAGCACACTTAATTTCCAATCGTCTGGCATGCTTTCGCCCGACCATATTCTGTAAAGAACTACTTTGCTACTGATACTGATGCATCTACCTGGTCAGCTCTTCACCGCCATGTCTGAATAGTTCTGCCGGTAGGCGTCAGCTCCCGCCGGGCGATTGCTATTCGAACTTCTTCATGGTCAGGTAATGGAACGTCTTTTTCCTCGTCATCGATTGGGGTATCGTATGGTGAACTCATCGGATTCTCCATTTTCACTACTATTCAGCAGATTAGAGAAGTGCTCCCTTCATAAATTCAATATACTCTGGGCATCGGTGGCTAGATCACCTCTTTGTGTGCTACAAAAGTCTGCTCCGGTCTTGAAACTTTTCGTAAGTGGTCGTATCTTCTCATAGAACTTTCGTGCATTACCCTTGTCGGCCAGCTTCTTAAGCTCTTCATCTCGACCTCTTTCTTTTTTTGCCTGCAGATGCGTGGGAAGCACGGGGTGTTAGATCAGGTGATCTGTCAGATGGTGCCTTTTTGTTGCAATATTTTTTCCGATATGCACGTTGAGTTGACGCAATGAAACGACTATTTTCGATGTAAAGTGTCACTATTTCAGCGCATTGTTTCGGTGTGAAAATTGTACTGAATTGACGTTTTCAAAACATATCTGGTGCAATCGCTCGTTTGGTAAATGTGAAAGTTATTCAGCGTTTACATACTGGCATAAAAGATGGAGCACCCTGTACTTCGGACCAAAGTTTATTCAGATCATTTCGTGTAAAAACCGCCAAAAAAGCTAAGTGGCTAACATTACGCACTAGCAGCGCTCGACTTCTGGTATTACCAGCAACCAAAAGTGATGAAGAAACTTTATTTTCGAAGGCGCCTCAGAACAAACGGTAGGTCGCTCCATAAATTGGAAAAAACACCAAGAGGCATACCGGAAATTGTTTCAGCGATTATAAAGCGCCAATTATAATTATTATATACGAATATGTACGTATATGTGGCATATCTATTATCAGTCCTTAAAAATGGTTTCCTTTTTCACTTCTTTAAAATCCCTAAAACAGCACACCAACCATTTATTATTTAAGAAAACAATACCACCAAAGGATTAAGCTCACATTCAATCCTTTCCAAACCGCATTTGTGAAAGTGTCAAATCACAAAACCATAATAATTATAAAATTTCAAACAAACAATAACACTTGACAGGATATAAAGCTTTCATAAGCATACACATGGAGATTTGTGCTTATTTTTCGAATATTTCAGACAAGTGTTCATGCGCTCCAAAACATACCTACATATACATATATTTAGTATATATGTAGGTATGTATGTATGTATGCATGTGTGTATGTATGTGCAAATTATGTATTTCACACTTTGAGGCATTAAAATTCCGACGCTTTGAAGTGAAACGAGTATACACCAGGAAACGGGAGTGGGTGAGCGCTTCCGGCGGCAAAGTCTCACATATACATATACACGTATACACAAATAAACACCATCGCACAATACATACTCGTACACAGTGCTATCACCTCAAGTGACGCCATTATGCGGCATTGTGTGAAAACTTTTCAAGGCTTTTGAGTTCTCACTAATTAAACAGCCAAACACAATGCCAGAGTAGAAACAACTGCAACAGCAACAGCAAAGACAACAAGCGAAGAAAAGGGTACTTGAAATAATCAAGGAACAAAAGCGAGTTGTATGTGATGTTTGTATGTATATGTATGTACAATACATATGTAGGTGCATATGGCATATAAAATGTCTAAAATCATGAAAGACTACGCGCCGTGTCAGCAGTGAGTGTGAGCATCGAAAGCCACGCAGTAAGGTTGTAATTACATGCGGCTCTGTGTATGTGTGTGTGTCTGTGTAGCTGCGTGCTCACATACGAAAATGGCAGGTCTATACGTTTTATCCTTTATACACACACATATACATATATGATTGTGTACATATGTGCATTTGATATGTTTTAGTTAGTTGATTCTTAATGTTTGTACTCAAATTTTTCGTTGGAGCTTTGGCGTGGAAATTTCGGTGGGGGTAACTTGTGCTTGTGATTTTAATTCGATTAGACAGAAACAATTAACGTATTAACGCCTCTTTAGTGCGGTATCAGCGTATTTTCGTGTGACTGCTGCGACCGCATACATACATATATATGTAATGCTTCGTATATGCATAGCTTAAACTATATGTATACTCGTATATGTATATATCTAACGGTGTTTTTGCTCATACTCATACGTGATTTCTCACTTTAGTTGGCCGCATATTTTATATTTTAGGCCACGTTTAGGCACCTCTCTGCCGCTATTTTGATATCAGCACAAGGATTTGTAGGAATGTAAACTTATGTGATGTGCATGTGTCATATAAACAAACGCGTATAAATTGACTTTTGGCGGGTTATTTGTGCGCTAATGAGTTTAAAGTTTTGGCTAATGATTGGGAAGAATAATTTTCATTGAATTATTCAACTGGAATTATAATTCATTTATATTCCTTCCGTTTACTTTGTATCAACTCAATTTTGTCCAAGAGATCGCGGGGTAAGAAAAAATTGTGTATTCTCATTTTTGGCACCGATTGAAATTTGATATTTTTGATATCAAAACAAATATATATTTTTAATTATTATATTAAAAAAAAAATAATTCAAATTTAAAAGTAACGCTTTTTCTACGCTTTTATATTATATTTTGTGCTTTAATAAAGAAAGTTGGTAATTCCACTAGAGCAAATAATTTTTTTTTTATTGAATATACATTAGTTTCATTCACTAAAAAAAAAATTAATTTCCAAAGTCGTATAAATATAAAATAACATAACAAAAATATGCTGTAAATACTAGAATCTTAGCGACCGTAATAACCGCGCGGAAGACCAAGGTTCAAGTCTTGGTCCAATCAATCCGCAGTGAATCGAACTGCAATTGCGTTGAATTTAAGCAAAAAAAGTCCAGTCGCTGGTTCATTTCGTGAAAATTTTGTTTCGTAGAAATTTCTTCATATACCATAGACGAAATCAGTCAAGTTAATCGACCGACATCAGCGGCGGTCCTTTACAAACGAATATAAGATGTATATATATTATAAATATATTGATTAATATTTCTAATTGCAGGCAACAATCTTTGCTTTGAAGACGAAGTGATAGTCATTAATAGAATTGCCTTGCGCCCAGTCTTGCCAGCTCTAGAAAATATTGTTATATTGCACCACATCACACAACTACAAAATTCCTAAAAAATAAGTGTGTTTTAATATTGATACATTTGTCCTTACAACAACGATGTATATAATTTCATCGCTTAAAGAAATGTAGATTGAGCCCGGAACTTTATACTGCTTAATTCAAAGCAACTTACTAACCACTCAATTAAGAAAATAGCGGCTAAATTAGCGCACTTAATATTTATTGGTTAATAATGAATTGCATAATACGACAACAGATTTATAGGCTGATGCTAGGTCTTAAAACTTCTAAAAATTCATTTTTTTTTTTTTTTTGATATTTTTTGTATAAAAGTACAGTGTCAGGAATACTTCCTCTAAGTTTCAAGTCGATCGATACGAAACTTCAAAAATTAGAGAGTTTTATAACCCGCCGTCTTTGTCATGGCTTGACCGATGGAGATGCTTTAAGCCCTGTTTTCTTAAAACCACTTTATCGAAATCGGTAGTCAAAATTTATCAAGGACTTTTGAAGAGATCGAGTTAAAATTTTCCACACTTCTTTTAAGCATGTCTTTGTAGTACCTGAACGAAGGACTTATTTTATCATTGATTCTACAAGCCAATGTGTGGCCTAATTTTATACAGAAATGACCTTTGTAGAAAAAAACGCTAAAAAAATTCAATTTTTAATATTTTTAATTTTTCTTCGTTCGGGGACAAGGAAAATTCACCTACTTTAAGAAAAAATTTGGATTTTTGATTTCAGTTGAAAATTGAAAAAGTTATCATGACTAAGGCGAAAACACTTTCTTGTAGACGGACTACTTCACGACACTGCCAACGTCTTAAATATTATTATTATATTTTACTATTATATGTAAATAAAATAAATTGTATACTTTATTTAGTATCTTTCAAAAAATTTAAGAAAATAAGATCTTTTTTTGACCTTCGGGATCCGTTGGTTCGATCTCTACCATAAGAAGCCTGATAAGGAATGTGGCGATCTCCGAAACAGCTGTCACTTCTACCATTTTTCTTTGTTGTTTGACAAAAAAATACAAAATTCATGCAAGAAAACCAAGCTTTTTCGCTCACTAAAAAATTGCAAAAAAAATTAATACGACAGGCAGCAAATACAATTATGAAAATTTTACCATAATTCGATATCGTTAAAAAGGTGGAACTCTTAATACGAAATGATTGAACATCGTATGCTACAATCACAAGAGGCTCACGAAGCTTGCAATGAACAACAACGATTGAGAAGACGACAAGTTCGTGCTCAGGAAATTCATGAAGCAAGAGAACAACGTATAGCTGCTCAACGACAACGCCAGCAACAACAACACAACATAAATTCAACTTTGTTTTCTTTTCAAAAAACACAATTTCACGCAAGAAAATGCCAATCTGGACGGTTCCGAAACATCTGCGTATCAAGCAATAAAAAAACTGATTTGTCTATGGAATCTTCCTTATGTTGATATTTCCATCCATATCATCGATACTCAAGAAAAATTGTTTTCATATTTTTGCTTTTAGTGAAGGATCTGGTATTTCTTGCGTAAATTGGACTCACTCACGATGAGTCCCCGGAAATTCAAGCCGACTAATTTCACAACTATCTTGATCCGTAGTCTAACTTAGATTTATTTTTTCTAATTTTTTACAAGTCACCATGTATCATAATTTACTTTCTCTTCTCTTCTACTTACAGAATTCATACAGCCGCAACACATCTGGCCTTACTTACAACAAAACTTCATACATCACACACACTTTCCACATCCCGCATTCCTCACACATCATCCACACACGCATCCACTTGCGCATGCACATCCTCACCTACCGCCACACCATGCACACCTACCACCGCCGCCACATCAATTGAATGCCATCGGTGGCGCCGCCAATGGCAATAGTTGTCAGCCGCAAACCGCAGCAGCGTCGTCATCGTCACCTGGCAGCACAATCAGTGATAGCGATAATCACTCCACCGGCACCGGCGGCAGTGGCAGTGGCTATGGTAGTGGCAGTAATAGCAATAGCAACAACACCACTAGTAACACTAATGCCATCGATATTCGACCAACATATGAAGGTGTTGGACACAATGACTGTGAAGATAATAATAATCGAAGACTAAGTTTACAATTGGCGCAGGAGAAACAGCAGCAACAACAGCATTTAGCAACAGCACACCTGCAGCCACAACATCCACTACAAGCCCACATGACGCCACACCACTCACCACTGCCCGGTCAGGTGGCTGGTGGTCATCAAGTGATAGCAAAGCCTTTGCCCAGCCGGCCTACGCCCTTCCTGCCACATAGCCTGCAACATCCGCATTTGCATTCACTGTTGGCGCATTGTCGAAATCCCTACATGAGTGGTGAGTACCGACGTACTCGTATATGGTTGTGTATTTATGTGTGTGTGTGCGTAGATGTGTGACATATTTGTTAGTAGGGGCGATGTTGCCACATTTTGTGGCATGCTGGTAATAGAATTTGACTAATGTCTGCAACTGGTGTTGGTTGTTGCACTTGTCAACACATTGCTGCACGCATAAACATACATAACGGTATATGTGGTGGCATGCAACAATTAAATGCAACAGTATTCTAATGTGGCAACAGTCCACTTCAAAATGCTCCCACTGCTCTTCCTCTGCGCACACACAGTCAAACACTAGGGTGAACAAAAAAATAGAGGGAAAACGGTTATGGGGAGTTTCTAGGTTATATAATATTAGTGTATTTTAAAATTATAAAATTTTTTTATTATGAAATTTTTTCATTATAATTTGTACCGTTATTCATAGCAAAAAATTACACTTTGAAATAAATAAACTCCCTTAAATGAGCTTGGATTTAATTACTATAAACATGATTTACCATTAATAAATATTAATTTAACAAGTTATAATAATGAAATGAATTATTATTAACCATATGCAGATTAATCATTTTTGTATGAATATAATTTGCTCAGACACAAAACTGAATAACTAAAGCTTGGTTAATTATAAAACCAATACTTTTTAATCCACTGAAAATCGATATAAGCCTTACACGCTTACTTTTTCCAATTCAACCTGTCGGAGCAATTGTTTTCGTCATTAGTTTTACATATTCATAATCAATTTCATAATAAATAGTTTCGTAATCGATGGTGTTTTTATTTACATAATAATATAATGAATTCATCAGATATGTTTTTAATAGAAAAAAAATAATTATTAATTAACGTTACTAAATTTCGAAATAAAAAAAATTGTGATTTAATTTAATTATATATCTTACAGCTTGCTTATTATTTTTACTCTAATATATTTAATTTTATTTGTTTCATTTATTTGTTTTATTTTATTTATTTCCTTTTTGTGTGATTAAATTTTGTTTTATTTAAATTTATTTTTTTATTTAATATTATTTTTTTTTACTCTAGTTTTCTTTATTATTGTTTCGTATATAAAATTAATTATATTTCATTAAAATATTTTATTTATTCCTTTAATTTTGTTTTGTTTTATTTTATTTATTTCCTTTTTCATGTGATTAAATTTTATTTTATTTAAAGTAATTTTTTTATTTAATATAATTTTTTTACTTAAGTTTTCTTTATTATTGTTTCAGATAAAAAATTTATTATATTTCATGTCATTTTAAAATATTTTATTTATTCCTTATATTTTGTTTTGTTGTATTTTATTACTTATATTTTTTAATTGATTATTTAATATTATTTAATTTTATTTATATTTTTTAAATTTAATTTATTTTGTTTTTTATCGTATTTTAAGTTTTTTAATTTTCTTTTTATTATTTAACTTGCTTTTTAAATTTTTTGTTTTATTTTTTATTTGATTTTATTTTCGTTTAATTAACTTTAATGAATTTTATATTTTTTGTGTTTTATTTTACTTTATTTGGTTTTACTTTATCTTATTTTACATTGTTTTCTAACAATTAATTTTATTTCAATTAATATTATTCTTTTTTTTAATTTATTTTAATTTTTAACTCTTTTTTATTTTATCTCATTAAAATTAATTGAACTTTCTTTATTTTTTATTTGAATATTTAATTTATTTTAATTTAAATTATTTTATTTTATTTTATTATTCATTAGTTTTTTTTTATTCATTTTATTTTACATTATTTAATATTAATATATATTATTTCGGCGGCCACGAGAGCTGAGTGCTTAGCATTGCGTACTGCCATTCGGAAGGATCGTGCTCAAATCCTGGTGTCGTACTAACGAATTAGGAATTAAGCTAATTTCTCAAATAGCGATCCCCTATCGGCAGGGAATGTCAACCCGAATGTATTTCTGACAACATGAAAATCGAAAGCTCCTCATAAAAAACCGTCACCCGCTCGGAGGCGGCTTAATATAAACTGTAGGTCCCTCCATTTGTTGGAAAAACATCAAGATGCTAAACCACACCGCTTCAGCCATTATAATATATATATATAATATTATTTCATTTCGTATTATGTTATTTATTTTTAAGTTAATTCATTTTTTCTATTTTTATATTATTTTATTCTTATTTAAATATTATAGTTTTAGTTTATTTTATTTTTAATTTTTTTATTTTATTTGCATCATTTTATACCAATTTATTTTATTTCATTTTATATTATTCTATTCTTTTTTTTTTAATTTTTTTATGTTATTTTATTTAATTAATTTAATTTTATTTTTTTATGTTATTTAATTTTATTTTATTTTTTTATGTAATTTAATTTTATTAATTTTATATTATTTAATTTTCAATTTATTTAGTTCAATTTAATTTTTTTTATTTATTTTATTTTATTTTATTTTATTTTATTTTATTTTATTTTATTTTATTACATTATATTTTTTCATTTTATTTTGTTTTATTTAATTTGATTTAATATAATTTAATTTAACTTAATTTTATTTTAATTTATTTAATTTAACTTGATTTTATTTAATTTTTTTTTTATTTTATTTAATTTGATTTTATTTATTTTTTTTTCTCTTACAACACCCTAACACAATCCGTATTAGTTACATTATTTGATTCATACATTTCCCACGCATTACCGTTTCCTTCCGCTTACAAAATTGCATCCCTCACTCTCTATAAATCACTCTCTCTTGCCATTCTTGCAGTTGGCGCACAAGTGTTTCCCCTGCCGCCGGGTCAAGGTTTTCCTTGGGCACACTCAACGCGTGGCAAACCTCGTCGGGGTATGATGCGTCGTGCCGTATTCTCGGGTGAGTGTTGATTGCGCCTGCAGTGAAGGCGTTAATTGTGTGTTATGTTACTTATGTGGCGAATAACAGTATTTGTGGTAATTTTGATTTATTTGCTTACACCCACACAGACTCCCAGCGCAAAGGTTTGGAGAAACGATTTCAACAACAGAAATACATAAGCAAACCGGATCGTAAGAAATTGGCCGAGCGACTGGGGTTGAAAGATTCACAGGTTAGTTAGTAGAGAAAGTCAAAACTTAAAATTGTTAAATTATTTTTTATTAATTACAGTTAACTTTAAATATTTTATTTTTATTGCTTAGTTTTTTTTTTTAAATAATATTTAAATTAAATTCGAATTGAAGTTAGCTGCGTTTCCAAGAATCGTGGTGCATATTTTAAATGACATAAATTCCCGCATTGCAGCTGTATTATTGTATATATATATAACTCAAATACCTATACGGATATATAATTTAAATACCAAACATACCAATATTATCATATAAATATATATTTTCAAATAACATTATCTGTATCTTATGAGTATGTCATAATATTTACTATTACAGAATTGATTGAATAGTTACGAGCATTTAATAAACAATTGTTCGTTTTTTATTTTGTTTAACCAGCTTCAAAGGGTAAAAGTCAGAAATTAATAACTTAATTATTTTTTCTTTTAATTATATAGTAAATCCCATAATATTCCAGATCAGTTACGTACTCTCATTATCGTATTATTGTTCTCGTTATGATATGTCACAATTACTCTGGAATATAATTGCGAAAAACAAATTATTTTCACTTCAGTTGAAAAAGCAATAACAGTTTAGTCCAGTAAAATCAAAAGATGCCGATTAAATAAACTATAATATTTTTTATCTTAGTTATTTATTTCATCAGAGTACGCTACTGAGATCCCAGACAATTTTTATTTTTATATTAAAAATGTCAAATCAAAATGTTGTTGTGATACCTAGGTGTACATATGCTGGGCATATTAAAGAAGCGTTTTTCGTTATCGCGCATGATAGCAAGACAATGTAGTAAACTCCTCAACCTACTTTGCCATCGACTTTAGAGCCATCGGTGAAGATGGCTGCGGAAATTTGTTCCAGAATTGTTACATTTCCCCACTCGTTGCGGTGTGTCTTATGCAGTGCCTCCATGGTTGAGTTGCATTTAGTCTTTTGGCGTTACAGCTCTCCTAAAATGTTATGCAGAGGTCTGCTGGGATAAAATTAAACAGAATTTTTAGCGCTTTCGTAGAGTTGAAGGCAGCGGTCTTGCAATGAGTAATATTTGTCTTGCTTGCTCTTTTAAGTAGCTTGTCTAGTGCTGGCCCCAGTAGAATAATATGGAACTTGCTACCGCTTTGTTTAACCGGGTGATTATGTAAGATAATTCCTAGGTAATAAAAAGAGCGACTTCTATGTTTTTAAGTGGGAATGGCTTAAAGCCAAATAACTTTTTCCTTCTGTAGAGAGGTTTCAAGCCAGTCTTTGAAGGATTTACACCCAGACCGCACTCACTGCACCAACTAATTACTGTGTGAAAAGTGTTTTGGAGCAGATAGCTTAGGAATATATATTCCAGTCCTGTTTAGTAGATTCTCAGTTCTTATCATGTCAACTTTGGGACCAGCCTACTTAATTTTTTTTACAATTGGATACAGATACTTTTGCTTGGAAGATGCTAGCATGGATTTGGTAGACTCAAAGGCGGGAAGATAATAAGATCCTCTTATTTCTGGCCAACAAACTGATATTTCATATGAGGTGTGACTTAATTGTCATGAGACTGATTCCATAAAAATCGTATATTTTAAAATTATTCTACAACTCTGCCATCCCCTTCAATGTAGACCCCTTGGGCAGCTTTACAACGACTCCAGCGCGTTTCCCAAGCTTCGTAACATCTGTGGAACACTTTGTCTGGAATGTCCACGAATACCCTCGTCACAGCGGCCTGGATATCCTTAATCGGCTCAATTTCATTTCTCGTCAATTAAATCCTCGATCTGTCTAGCCACATTGGAATTGCCTGTGAAGGTACATTGAAGTGGAAGTGTGCCAAATCTATTATACTTATAATAGCTCGCTATGTGGTTGGCATCGTATTTCGTATGTCAACCCACGATCGTTGTATATCTACTCGAGATAGTTTTGCGAATTTCCCTGTGTTTTCTAGCCAATTTAGCCTTATTGTAGTTTGCCTGTCAGAGTAGTTCACTATGCCTTGATACTTGTAAGTCAAACGATTTCTATTTATATACTCGTAGTTTGTTCTATTCTGAAAACGCTGTCAGTCTGTTTCTTGGACTTACCGTTATCGTAACTGAGTAGATATCGAAACACACTTTGTCAACGAACTTTTAAGCGTTGGTTGCGGCGAATATTTACTATTAATGTGTTCATCCTTTGGTTTCAACATACATGCATACATACATACATACATACATACATACATATAACACCAAACGGCCAAAAAGCATCTACATATTTATGGAAGGAAACTTTTGTTGAGCGCGTTGTCTCGCAATATGGGCCTGTGGCGTGACTTATAAGCTCGTGCGATTCAACATCGCTTGTCTTAGCAGATAAACCTAAGACGGTTGACGCCTTGAAGGAGAATATTCGGCACGTTATTGCTGACATACAGCCCCAATTTCTGCAAAAAGTGGTCGAAAGTAGAATAAATTCCAACAATCCGCGGCAGTTATTCGCCCGAAATCTTCTTCAAAGCATAATGTCTAAGCCCCTCTCTTTATAATGATGTCAAATTCTTGGCCAAAACCTTAAACCATATGCGTTTCACTTCTTCTTGAAAACCATATGTCTAAAAGAGAAACCTTTATTTCATTATGAAGTAAAATAAATCAAATTTTCATATACGTAAATAAATACTTTAATTCGAGTGTTAAATTTTTTACTGTGGAATTTATAATTTTTGTTGCTTTCCTTTCGAAGCATTCCACCATAATGGCTGTTATACTTGAAAAAAAAAAAAAAACAAAAACAAAAAAATTCAAATGAAAGCGTAGTTGTTAAATTTACTCCTCATGGGGGTTGAAAGCATATTGAGCATTGTTGTTGTACAAATGCCAACTCTCACAGCTTTTTGGGCGCCACCCAATTCTCAAATGCGCAGTCGCTTTTCCTTCGGTCATACAAACACACAAACACACACACACACACATGCCGACATCGGCATGGAAATACTAAAAAAAAGCAAAGTAAGGCAGAAACCTCAAAATTGAGAGCAGAAGCATAAACAAAGAGTCACAAAGAGCACAATAAACGACTAAAAAGACAGTATTTAAATTAATTGAAATACATAATATGACAAATTCACACACACATTCTACTCACACATACATATCTATGTATATGAATAACGCACATGCTACCATGTGTGTGTGTGTGTGTAAATAAAAGGTAAATAGTGAATAAAAGCATATAACCATAAAAGCCATCAAATAGTTTACCAAGTGAGTAAATAGAAATGAATATTTTAAGATTTCTACTTCCCTTTTTTGTGTTTACTCGTTGAATATATCTTTTTGTTTGGTAAATTTTGATTGGCATTAATTTCTACATACAACACTTTGTACTATTATGATTGTATACTAAATTAATTAAATATCAACTGTGAATTTTTACGTATGAAGGTTTGAAAAAATGTCTTTATTCAGTGTGGAAATTGAAAGCATAACAGTTAAGAATGCCTCAGAAGAATATTTAAACGAATTTTAACGATGAAGACAACCGTTAACGAGTTGGAAATTTTTTTTCTAAATTATGAAAGCAATTCAGGGTTTGCGCTTAAGCTGTTCGTACGGCGCCTCCAGAATCGACCTTACGGAGTACTTAACAAAATCAAACGGAGCTGGATGGATGGATGATTGGTAGAATTCAAATAAGCTTATTAAATCGAGCGAAATGTTCACAAAACTATAGTAGGGCTTGTGGTCAGATCCTCAATCTTCCCTATCAGCCAACCAACCAACGCATCATGCTTTTCGAATATTTCTGCCATTTCGGGTACTCCGAAGGTCGATAGGAAAATATTTAGTTTAAACTTCATATAACCAGCATGTACGAGTATCTTATATAAGTCAAAGTGTCTTATTGTAGTATATTAAAAACGTCGATAGATCTTCTTAGTTAGCCTTCTCCTTGCATTGCTTTCAGAGCTTCGATTCGAAGAGTAAGGTATGTCCATTTGTGCCTTGGGGAGTTTGAATAAAATAATATGCACAACTCATCACTTTTGCCTCCTTCTCTTGAAATCTTCCTTCGTTATTCTTATATGTTTGTACACTATAATATTTCAAACGCCATGGACCAGTTCGGCGCAAGTAAGGAAACTTTAGACTTGTCAAAACCACGAACTGAAGTGTGCGACGGGAAATTTACTTGTGCCGACTAGCCTTCACCATGAAGAGACCGTCTTTGAAGATTTGCTCGAAGCAAGGTGCTGTCATAATTTAACTTATTCAAAAACATATAAAAACTATTGAGATTTTAATGAAAGAAATTAAATACCATTTAAACGATATTGGCGTAACGCAGTCTTAGTATTTTTGGGCATGAATTTAATATTGACAGATTTTATGGCCCATGAGTTTATCATCTGACGGGATAAAAGCATAACAGAATACCATTGCAAATTACTTTTCCCTGACCGACACTGCGCTCCGTGGAATAATCTGCTTCATTGGAAAGCCTCTTAGTAATAGGAAATTCTGCCTTTTTAGTTTCCCTGATATAAAGAGGGCAGTTAATAAAATTGGTTCTTAACAGACCATGCAAACCTCGAAGAGTCACACTTCAAGGCGGAGCTCTATTAAAATTTCTCTGGAGGCTCACGATAAATTTGCTTTTAACTGGAACGGATTGTGGTGTTGGCCAAATAAATGCTCACACCGATGATATTGCCATAATATATCGAGGTAAGTTTTCCAGAAACCCTAACTGGTTTTGGCGGCCACGGTAACCGAGTGGTTAGCGATGCGTACTGCCATTGGAAGGCTCGGGTTCAAGTTCCCATGCGACCAACAACCAAAATTATAGAAACTTAATTTAAATAAAAAATTAGGCTAAATTTTCTAAACGCGGTCGCCCCTCTGCAGGGAATGTATTTCGGACATGAAACAAAGGCTCCCCGTAAAAAAAATTTTCAGCCATTCGGAGGAGGCTTATTATAAACGGTAGTCACGAAACTTTTATTCAGGCCTTACAATGACTTCCAAGTGAGTTCTTCCTCCATAATAATAG